ACGTCTTCTACGGTATTCAGGTAGCCGTTGGGCTGAATGGTGCTATCTGCAGATACATCTCTCCCGGCCTGAAAAGGAACCCTCATTCAACTTCAAACGTCTTGGAGTCAGATGGTGCGACGGCTGACGAGGCCAGATACTGTCTGCTTCAGTCCTCAGTTGATACTTGGATAATATTATAACATCCAGGCCGTTCGTTGGTTGGCCAACTATGCAGCCATCTCCCCCGGTCTATATCACATCACCACTCTCTTAACATCTCAGCAGATATAGCCAACCAACTAGTTATTATTATTATTATTTATTTATTACGATCGATCATCAGGATCAAATTTACTCTTCCAGAAGGCCCGGTAGTGCTTCTCCCTGCCCAGTCGAGATATCTCATCGACCTCGTCCGCCGTCAGCCTAAACTTCACCACGCCCAGGAACTCCTTCAGCCTCTCCTCCTTGCTGCTGGTCGTGAGCGTCACCACATCCTGATCGATAGACCACCGGAGCAGCACATTCCCTTCACTCACGCCGTACTTCTTCGCCAGCCGACTGACGACTCCGTCGACGGGGCCGCCCTTTGCCCGTGTCAGAGGCGTCAGCGGAGAGTACCCTTCCACCGCGATGCCCAGTCGTCTATGCACCGCCAGCAAGTCCCCGTGCTGCAGGTAAGGATGGAATTCTATCTGGTTCACGGCCGGCTTGATGCTCGCGGTCTTCATGATCGCCTCCAGATGGGGCTGCAGGAAGTTGGACACGCCGATCGAGCGTGCCTTGCCGGACTGCTGCACTTTCTCCATCTCGGCCCATTTGGACTGCAGTTCCTCGTCGTCTTTGGCGAAGAAGGGCTCGTGGATCAGGTATCTACTCAGTTAGTTGCCAGCGGTCAGCCCTCGTACTCATACTTCACTCCCGTAACGTAGATATCAGATAACTGGTAGCTTGCTCTGCGTACAGGTCAACGTAGTCCAGCTGCAGGTTCCGCAGCGTCCTCTCGATGGCCGCTGGTATATCACCGATGCCCTTGTTCACCTTGGCCGTGACGAAGAAGTCCTCCCGCTTCACACCGCTCTCCTTGATGGCTATGCCCAGCTCTTTCTCCGTCCCATAGGCCTCTGCGCCATCGAGGTGTCTGTATCCCGTCCTGATGGCCGTCGCCACGGCATCAACGGTCTCCCGGTCGATGTCTTCGGCTCCGGCCCTCTTGTACCACGCTGTGCCTGTCCCGTATCCAAGCTGTCTCTCCGTCAGTAAACTAACTGGTTATCGGCTGGCCGAGTTCGAGGGCGAAGAGCTAGTTGGCTAGTTAGTTAGCTTACCACTGGCACTGAGGCCCCGTTCTCCAGCTTCACAGCAGGCACGGCAGCCATCCTGACGGCTCTCAAGTAGTTGGCTTCTCCCAGGGCAATCAATAGCAATAATCTCGTCTTTTCAAATAACGTCTTCTTTCTCCTCTTCGTATTCTCGTAGTTATATTTGGTCAACTACTTGACCGGCTAACTATGTGCCTGATGACATCATCTCCCGGCGCAACTTCAACCTCGACAGGATCGACTTTTCTTTTACGGGATTTTCGGCTGTTGAGTTGACATGGAATCAGCATCAACCTGACCATCGGCAGCTTCGCATTTCATTCTCTCGCGTGTGTCTCTCGCTTGCTTGGTCTGTTGATAATTGGATACAATTCCCTTTAACCCACGGGGAACCAACCGGTTCCATGCTCTTGAGAAACAGTATCTCCCGCCGGATCCCGCAGTCTCCTCTACATCCTCGCCTGTCCCAGATGGCCTCCCATCTCATCCACAGCAGCAGCAGCATCAACAGCAGCACAACCGGTGCCGGCGAGGAAAAGGACCAGCTATACTCGTCCACGACGACGACGGATGCTCCGGGTGTCTCGCTGGCGGACATCACAAAGACAAACAACTTCACCTCCAAGCTTCCCCCGGACGCGGCTTTTGATACCCCTCTGGCTTCACACAATGCGCCCCGTGAGCATTTGGGTCCTCGGCTAGTCAAGGGTGCGCTGTACACCTTTGTCAGGCCAGAGACCACTTATGAGCCAGAGCTGTTGGCCGTGAGTCCTCGTGCAATGAAGGACCTCGGCTTGAAAGAGGGCGAGGACAAGACGGATGACTTCAGGGAGATGGTTGCAGGAAACAAGATATTTTGGAACGAGGCGGATGGAGGCGTCTATCCTTGGGCTCAATGTTATGGAGGTAAGGTTTTGTTCCTTGGATTCAGGGTCATATTTTTTATTTTATTTTATTTTTTATGCTATGAAATATACTAATACCATATTTTTAGGCTGGCAGTTGTATGTTTTCCTGTTTTGTGGCATGCATTGAACAAAAAATATACTATATACTTACCAATGACATAGTGGCACCTGGGCCGGCCAGCTTGGTGATGGAGTATGTTTATTTCATTATCCCAGCTTCGTCTATGGGTACTGACATGTGAAAAGCGTGCTATTTCTCTCTTCGAATCAATAAACCCGGCAACAAACAGACGCTATGAAATTCAGCTCAAGGGAGCGGGTCTAACCCCATACTCTCGTTTCGCCGACGGCAAGGCAGTCCTCCGCTCCAGTATTCGGGAGTTTATTGTCTCCGAAGGTTGGTAGCTGTCAGTGCGTCTGCAGGCTTGACGGTAGAGGCTCACCATTCTCTAGCACTAAACGCTCTGGGTATCCCAACTACCCGCGCTCTGTCTCTAACTCTCCTGCCAAATTGTAGTGTCAGGAGAGAAAGGCTAGAGCCCGGTGCTATAGTCACTCGCTTTGCAGAGTCGTGGATTAGAATAGGCACATTTGACTTGTTACGTGCTAGAAGTGACTTGAAGCTCACCCGCCGGCTTGCCACTTACGTTGCCGAAGATGTATTCCCAGGCTGGGAATCACTCCCGGCTGCCCTGCCCACTACTCAGGAAAAAGACAAACCTGTCGATGGGAAATTGATAGACAACCCTCCTCGGGGAGTGCCCAAGGACGAGATCCAAGGTGAGAAGGGCGCAGAGGAGAACAGGTTTGCCAGGCTATATAGAGAAATAGTTCGACGCAACGCAAAGACGGTAGCCGCCTGGCAGGCATATGGCTTCATGAACGGCGTGCTCAATACCGACAACACCTCCATTTTTGGCCTGTCGCTTGACTTTGGCCCATTCGCCTTCATGGACAACTTTGATCCAAGCTACACACCCAACCATGATGACGATATGCTGCGGTACTCATACAAGAATCAACCATCAGTGATCTGGTGGAATCTGGTGCGTCTAGGAGAATCATTCGCCCAGCTAATAGGCATTGGCGACAAGATCGACGACGAAGCCTTCCTATCCAATGGACTGAGCGAAGAACAAACGTCCGATGTCATTGCTCGAGCTGAGAAACTCATCGACCAAGCTGGAGATGAGTTTAAAACGGTTTTCCTAAATGAATACAAACGCCTCATGTCTACACGGTTGGGGCTTAAAACGCAAAAGGAATCTGATTTTAATGAACTGTTTTCGAACCTTCTCGACACTCTCGAGAAACTAGAGTTGGACTTTAATCACTTCTTTAGAAGGTTATCAGGACTCACCGTGGCGGAGATAGATAGCGACGAAAAGAGGAAAAAGGTGGCCAGTTTGTTCTTCCACGACGAAGGCGTTGGCGGCGCCGGAAATACCGAGGAGTCTGCTCGGGAGAGCGTTGCTAAGTGGCTTTCATCATGGAGAGAGCGAATAGTAGAGGACTGGGCCGGGTGTGAAGATGAGGAGCGGATACGCTCCATGAAGAGAGTGAATCCAAAGGTAAATGACAGCCCAACCTCTTTTATTTTTATTTTTATTTTTATTTTTTATTTTGGTCTTTATCAAAACATCAAAAGTAGGAGTGCTAACCTTACTTTCTTTCTCATAGTTTATTCCTCGATCGTGGATCCTCGATGAAGTGATCCAGCGTGTTGAGAAGCAGGGTGACAGGGAGATTCTAGGTCGAACCATGAACATGGCCCTCCACCCATTCCAAGAAGAATGGGGCGTCAACAGGGAAGAAGAGGAGAGATTCTGCGGCGATGTACCCCGATTCAAGAGGATGGCAATGTGCAGCTGTAGCTCATGAGTTCCTTGCTGTCCCCAGTGTGTTTTATCTTGTTTGGGTCTGGACCAGTGAAGACCCTCGGGTAGATATGATGATATATCCTCCTTCCTTGACTGTGGCGAACAAATTCAATTCTATTTACTTCATGACGTTTTACCTAGATTCAATGCGAGCATCGACTTCAAAAATTGACTTCATCACTCTACTTAAACTCCAGCATGGGCCTCCCTAGTCTCTCACCAAATGCTCCATACCCTGAGCAGAGGCTTGTCCCTCCCTTTGATATGCCCGTTTGGGGAAAAGCCAAACAAATAGCAGGGCCCGCTCCAACCAAAGCACCATGCATAGAGCTACAGAAAGGGCTAGAAGATCCGAGGACCGCAGACACATTCCCGCCGACGGCTTCATTAGCAGCGATGCAGGGAGCTATTCTGGTTCCAGCAGTGAAATCGAAAGTATCCGAACAGCTAGCAGTGTTGCCTATGGGGAGGACGACGAGGACGAAACACTCCGTCGAGCCTTTGAGGAAAGTCTGAGGCTGGAGAAAGACCGTCAGCGACAGCGCAGGGAAGCTGAATGGGAGGCCATGCTCCGCGAAGAGGAGGTCCGCCGACAGTCTCTCCGGGAGGCTCGGGCAGAAGCCAGGAGAGCGCAGTGGGCGGCCCGGGCGGAAGAAGCAGCAATTCGGACAGCCATGCAAGCAAGTGAGCGGGAGCAGGAGGAGGCGAGAGCTAGAAGGATAAGGGAGAATTTATGTCTTTTCCAACAGACAGTGGAACAATCACGGAGGGAAAATATGGCAGGCAATGTGCGCGGTTCTCGGAGGAACTTGCAGCGGTTGTCTAGGGACTTGCCTTCGACAATCCCCAGGCCTCGACGGGAACAGGGCGCCGAAGCTGGACGCAATGCTGGTCAGTCAACAACTCGGGAGCTAACTCGACTTTCGAGGGAGGAAAGGGGAGCTCAGGCTGCGAGGCCTCGTTCTCACCGGGTGAGAGATGCCATGAGGGATGCAGTTACGAGATCTCGAGCCTTCAGCTTCGGCCGCAGTAGCCCTGAATGGCAGGACTCAGAGCGAGCTGTTCCCCCTTACACAGCCTCATCTCGTCCCAGTGCCAATACAACCAGGGCCTCAAATCCAACACGACCGTCAAATCCAACCAGTCCTTCGAACCCGGTTGGGCCTGCACAATCGCCTAGATCAAGAAGTCCAGTTGCTCCGGCTGGCAGCGGTGATAGGCGAAGAATCGCCAACCCTGGACACTATTCAATGCTCCTTGTTACCCCCGTAGATCCAACCAACTATCGCGTACGTGATGTTATACGCAGATCCCGGCGAGAGTTCCATGCTCGAGCGGCTGCCACTGAAGCCGGCGAGGGTTTCGACAGTGACTTGCAGCGAGCTATCAATGAGTCTGCGGAACAACACCGAGACGAAGAAGAAGAAGCCGTTCAGCGCAGCAGAGGAATTCCAACGTACGAGGAAGCGTGTGCGTCGGTCCGGTACCGTCCTTCACCCGGCATGAGATATTCCTTCCAAGGCCCAGAGGTCATCGAAATACCAAGGGAGAACGGCCCGCCAACGAAGCTGAGTATCGTAGGGGATATGGACCTAGGGGAAGCAATGAGGATTGCGAACCAACGGGTCAAGAGGAAGAGAGGCCAGGCACAGTTAAATTGAATCTGGCTCTCTATTCGATGTTTTAAACATGACTTCCTCTTTCGTTGCCAGCTATGTCTCGATTCCTAAGTTATTCTCTTCAGCTTTTGATATAGGTACTTCGGGGGCGTTTGCGGGTATATCTTGCTGCTGGCTGGGGGCGTTTGTTTGGAATTAATATATTGGGGGGGGGGGGGGAAGGGGGGAATGAGATAAAAAGGAAACAGGTCGGCCTAAGGAATGAAGGAGTAATGGATATAATAGAGGTAGAGAAGTGATATATCTTTTCGAATGGAGTGATTTGTTTGTCATTCTTGAGGCCAGGATCAAAGTTCGTAACATAAAGCCGTCATAAAGCCATGAGAGAGGACTGGGTGGGATTAAGGGAAGAAATCACCAGGCAGGCCGATGCAAAGGCTCAAGACACCACAATTTGTAGTATTTAACAAGAAAGGTAAGAGAACGGGAGGTGGGGGAATCCTTGAATGGTAGATGGAAAGGGGAAACAATAGTAATGGAGATGCAGTCGAAAAAGAAGAAAAAGGCCAGTAATATCAATCGTAAAAAAGACATGAAGGAGAAAGAAGAGGTGAAAAGGGCTAGCAATATTCACAAATCCCACAGGCTCCTTTTCCTGGTTCATACATTTCCTCTCCTTATTCCTCAAAGAGATAAGCAAATCAATCAATCAGTCAGTCAGTCAGTCAATCAATCCATTCCTTGTCTTCGTAACTTTCAAATCGTCCGTTCCTCTCTGTCGCTGTCTCTAACACCTTGCTTGTGCTCTGTTCAACGAAGCAATGGTTTTTTGGTCGAGGTGAGGAAACTGCTGACATTGGGTTGTTCATTTACTCTGAGGCCATTCAAACATCAGAGGGGAATCTCCTTTCTTTAGCTTAATTGCGTGGACAAGAGGCGAGGGTAGGGTAAAAGGGAGGTTGGCGATAGATGGGTAAGGGGCGCAGTTTGGTTTAATCATTGGGAAACGAGCTCAAATTCTTTTTTCTGTTTTTTTAAAGTTCAGGTTACTTTCAAGTGCCGGGGGGTTGGTATGTATGCATGCATGCGAATTGTGCCATAATATGTATTTATCTTCTTCTCCACGACATTTCTTTTTTGGGACGGGCTAGTTCGGTCGTTTAGTTAGGGCAGGCGGCCTGGACGTGACCGGCCTGCTTGCACTTATAGCAGACACGCTCACCCTTGGCCTCAGTTGGACAGTCTCTCGAGACGTGGCCAACCTCACCACCTGAAGGGAGTTAGCAGTAGTATAGACGCTTAGTCGTTGGGCAAGGGAACGTACAGTTGTAGCACTTCTGTCCCTGGGTGCAGTCACGGGCCATGTGGCCGTAGCCGCCGCATGAGTAGCAGGTCTGCGAACGGCCACCGTAGCCGCCGCCGTACGAGCCGCTGCCGCTGTTGCCGTAACCGCCGCCGTATCCGGAGCCGCCCTGCTGACTGCAGTTACGGGCAATATGGCCAACCTGACCGCACTTATAGCATTCCTGGCCGCCAGAGCCGCCGGAGTAGCCGCCGGAGTAGTTGTTATCGCCAGAGCCACTGGATGGGCATTCGCGAGAGATATGACCGGTCATACCACATCGGTAGCAGGACTTCTCCTTTGGAGGTTGGGTACACTCACGACCTAGACAAGAAAGAAAAAGAAAGGGAGTCAGCTACAGGGAGATTTAAAACACACATAACGAATCCTTCCTTTTTTCCTTTGCGCTCCGCTTCCACACTCTCCTGCTCTCTCCAAAGCCTCTATCCCCCCTTGACGTCTACATCTGCTCTCCGAGTGCAATGTCAAAAACTCACTGACGTGTCCCTGTCCTAAAAACGTAGAAGAAAAAAATTAAGATCTGCATACTTCCATAGTAGTTGAAAAAGATTCGCGAGTTGCATATTCCTCATGACATACCACCGCAGTTGTAACTGTATAGGATCAAGAATCTAGATTTTAGCGAGTGTTCCAATTTTT